CAGTTACACATTCATTTGAGTCCAGCAGATATAAATAAATCAATTGCCTAGAGATATAGTTCTTGGCACTAAAATAAGACAGATATTTCTCATAGAAATCTCCACAAAAAGAAGATACTTTTTGACATAATAAACAATGTTCTTGACAACAGCTTCAAGAAGACCCTCTGTGATTGCTTCTTCTGATGAAACCTTACCAATGCACAATTGGACAAAAGCAACTGGGGACAGGAGAGTGTGACGCAATGCTATTTACATCCGTAGCTGCTCTCTGATGATCCGGTCTGACCCAGACATATATTTTATAAGCCTGTAGACTGAATGCAAGAGTGAATAAGCTTCACATATTGCTCCTTGAATATCTCTCGACTGAGCTTCTGACATTTATCCATCAGCAGTGAAGTTAAAATAATATGCTCTAGTAAATGTGTGGAGACAGTTATTCTCTTTTGTCAGCTGAAGATGAACCCAGTTTAGCCAGGGGATAGAGATAATGATTTTCTGTGAATGCTGAGAGGTCTACCTAGGATCAGTAGCTGAAAAGATGATCAATTCTACCTCCACTGTGAGCACCTACTATCAGAACTCTAAGAAGCCTTAGAAATACTGAACCTACTCCAAAGCAACGTAACTAATGTTGATCAAACTCTCAACCCAAAGTTCTACTACATCGAGCATGACTAAAAGAACTTTAGCTAAAAACATAATTCACTGTATCCAAGATATGAACAGTTTTACGAGGCATACTAAAGCAAATTAACAACAACAATAACAACAAAAACTAATGAATTTAAAGTTATTTAAATGATTCTATCACTGGTAATATTCAGTAACATATTACCTATCTGCATTTCACTCACCAATTTCAAGCATAGAAATAGACTTTTCTCTGATTATCAGTAACCAGAATGTGAAGAAGTTCAGAGTGCTGAAGCTCAGATACTTAACTCAGGCCCCAGGGTGCTTTTATTTTTTAACACATTATAAATGATCAACTTTCATAGTTCACAACCAATTATAATGAGCAAATCAGGATGGGAAGCTTCTAGAAATAGGCAGAGTTGTAAGAAATAACAGCTAACTTGGTAGAAAGAGACAGCAAATGCAAAAGCAAACGAAGAACTCCAAACAATACTTTGGGGCCAAGTAGCAAAAAGCTCCATGTATCACAAAAGCCTACAATGGAAGTCACTGCATAGGGCATACTCATAGAAACAGATCATAAAGTCATCAACGAGGATTATATTATGCTATGCAGAGACTTTTTATAGAAGATAGGAAAATGTGGAATCTTTTTTTTTTTTTAAGCAATTCAGACAAAATGTTTAAAGTATTATTGTTTACTGTGGTTTAAATCTGAACACTTAAATTATAAGCGTCAGTTATATAGAAGACAGAGGTCCACTATAAATCCTGAGTAAAGCACTACAGTTGATGGGAGAATTTTAAGCTTAACTCAAATATTAGTTACATGGAAAACATAAGCATCTCACTCCCTACGACACTGGAAAAATGAGGTGTTACTGTTATTTGAAATAACATTCAAGTTATGAAATACTTTTGACCTATAGGAAACAAAGATCTATGTACGTTATTAAAAGTACTTTATTTTGAAAATCATCATTTGTCTCCACTTTGCTTAGCTCATCTCACTATCTCCTAAGTCGCTCATTCATCCTCTAGCCACAAGACAGGAAGATAATGATTTTGTGTGGGAGTTTCTCATAAAGTATTGCTTTAAGAGTTTAACAAATGTTACTTTTAAATCTGTTCATGCATATACACTTAAACATGTATATTTTAATACTTTTCTCTTAAAACAATGTTAAGCCATAGAAAGATAATTTAGATTTTAATTCTCTTTGTCAACAGAACTAAAATCAAAGGAATATGTAAGCTTTTCAATAACCCATGAAGCTTAAAAATGACAGGGGAAAAAAAAAACTAATACCTGATTTCCTATGGATGAAAAATGCAGGTTTAAAAAAAAAGCCTGAAGGATTTTAACAACTTCATTTTTCAAAGTTCTAAATGGTAGAGAATATGCAGGAAATATACTAGTTGGTGCACAGAACCAAAGTCAGTCTGAGTATTCTGAAATTAAGTGTGGAATATTTAGAGACCTCAAACGACCTACTTTCCTCTACAATCTGTGAAAAATAAGAGAAAACAGTACTTATTTGGTATCATCCAAGTGTTCTGAGTCTACAGTATATAAATGCTCACTGAAAAAAAAAACCTGATGAAATAATTACATACACAATCATAATGAACTGAAATCCAACTCAATTCAATTCCTGACTATCCTAACCAATCTACTTCCAAAGTTCGACTATAGCATATTGCTCTTTTATGTTTTTAAACCTAAAGAACTGGGTAGCTACATAAGATTTTAAATTTAAACTGAGAGTATACTGTATAACAGACACAGTAGAATGAATGTGGCAGGGGGGAGATTATTTTGTTTTGGTTTTGTAAACTGTTCAATTTTTTAAGACCATTAGTAAAGAATCACAAAATAGAAGGCATAGTTCAAAACGTTTTTGTTTACAGAGAAAAATGCACATGTCTCATCTAGCTACCATTAAACATATGTCTACCACTATCCTGTTCATATTTAGAGACATTCAAAACTAAATATGAACACATTTGCTTGAAGACTATTACCAGTTTTAGAGCTGTTATTGAGGGATACCAATGATCTAGTCCAAGGTTATTTTACAGATGAGAAAACTGGAGAATGGGAAGGTTGCATGGCTTGTTAAAGGACATGCAACTATTTAATGACAAAGTAAACTTAGAACTCAATTATATGTCCACTAAACCTACTTCTTCCCAATATAAATATCAAACCACCTCTAATTTGATATGTAAAAATTTTTAAATGAATTCGTTAAGAGAACTGGGTGAAATATCCAGGGTTGGTAACTTTAAAAGGCAGAGAAAAGCAACAGAAATGCATAAATATTGATTTGTTCATTTTGCTGAATTTGAGGTGGGCCTACTTAAAACAGCCAAATGGCCTACAACGACTTTTTCCTAAAAGTAAAAGCCTTTTAGACAATGTCCATCAAATAGATCCTATTACTAGGCATGGATGATAATTTATAAGCACTATCAACTATCTGAACATCAATAACAGCCTTGGTAATATTATCCACATAAATAAATACACAAGTAGAAATCTAAGCCAAAAACTGAAATTTATTTTAGCTACAATACTAAATTTATGTGTAATCAGTAACTAAAGTCAGTACTTATATTCATTTCACGGTCGAAAATAATTTCGCAAATAAAAAATACAGCTAACCCAGACAGCTGTCCACACAAATCACTGTGATGTGACTGATATTTCTTAAACATAACTCAAAAGGTAACTTGAATTTAGGATGAGAAACAAGTACCTTTCTTCTCCTGAACTGCCTGTGAAGAGAGAGCAAATGAATGTTAAATGATATAAAACCAGTCATGACCAAAATAGAGAAGCAAAAGGAACAGTACTGACCACTGAATTTATTCATTCGATAAATATTTACTGAGTGTCAGGTGCTACAGTAGAGAGTAAGAATTTTAAAAAGACTGAGCAAAAAGCAGACAAGGTTACTGCCCTGTGAAGTTTAACTCTGATGAACCTTTTTATGAAACACATTAACCCCCAAAAAAGCGCTGCATATGTTGCAGTTTGCTTGAGACTATCCTCTTTTTAAAAATTTTCTTTTTAATATTTTAAAATAAAGGTAAGAATATTAATCTTGCTTATTGATCTGTTACCTAACTTAAAAAAAAGATTTGCCTAGATTAAAAAATTTTAATACAGCCTATCTTCCTCAAAAGTTTGCACCTTAGACTGCACAAGTTGTAAACTGAACAGATTTCATATAATTTTACTGTTTATAACTCCAAGAGCCATAACAGTCAGTGAGGCAGGTCTTCCTGATAGATATGTAAACATCTGTAGTAGTCAAAGTTAAAAAAAAAAAAAAAAGTCAAAGTTATTGAAAATATGTCCTAGTATAAATATCTGTAGTCTGCTTCGGATACTAAAAACATTTTTACACAAAGAAAAAAATACACAGATATAAACTGCAAAAGAGGAAACGGTTTCATCATTCTCTGATTCTCAGAAGATTATCAATGTGGGGTTTGACTGAACAGAGTATGGTAATTTTTAAAAAACTTAAATAAGTTCCTAAGAAGTGGATGGCTAGGACTTCAATTTTTTTTTAATACTCAGAAATAAGACTTAAAGAAAATATGTCGGCATGTTAAAAATGTTATTTTTTAATACGAGGCTTATAGACAGTAACCATTCCTTTTATGTTTCTATATTTTCTAGAATAAAGGAATACATTTATAATTGGAAAACATTTAAGAGAAGGCAGACCTTGGAATAAATCATTGAAACGAAGACTAGGTACCCTCCACAGTCCCACTCTTATAACTGCAGAAACAGCACCAGCACTGCAATATAAAGTGGAAAGAAAACGCGCGCGCGCACGTCTGGCACATAGTAGGCACTACATATTTGTGGTATGGAATGACTGAATATATATGTAAACACGCCAAAACAAAAACGGAATGCACTCTGATTTTGAGAGAACACAGTAAACAATCACAGTAACGACTACTTTACCAAAAGCTGGCTGACAGCTAAACGTGCACTAAATGAAAGAGCTCTTCCTCCCTGCCCTCCTCTTTTACTGTGACACTAGACTGCACATCCACAACAAATCCGCCCCCCACCTTCCCCCGCTCGAAGCCCTACCCTCCGCTGCTCCAGCACTGGAACTGACGGAAAGTCTGGGGACTCGGCAGCGCGCAGACCTGAGCCCCCTTCAGGGCGCTCCCGCCCGCGGACACACCCGGCGCGGAGAGGCCGGGGCGCAGACTGCTGCCGCCGGTCTCCGGGACCACTTGGGGCTCGCGCGCTAGCCCAAAGCCCACAGCCCGCGAAGCGGGCGGCCCCCCTCCCTCATCCCGAGCCGCGGGCCGCGCCGTACCTGCACACGGTGATCAGGTTCCGCCTCTCTACCGCAGCATTGCGGGCGCTCAGGCTCTTCTTGCCGCCGCCACCACCTGCGCCGCGGCTCCCGCTCAGGCCCCCCAGGCTCCGGGAGGCCATGGCGGGCCGTTCCCCGCGCCTCTTTTGTCTTGTGCGACCCTGCCCCTCCCCCCCACACCTGCTTATCTGGCTCTCCGTATGCGACCGTAGGGGCGCAGGAGGGTCGTAGGGAAGGCGCGGGAACTGAGGGAGGGTGTGGAAAACGGCGGGGGACTCACACTAGGGACTGACGGCTAGCGCTCCGCACCCGAGCTCCACAGACACACACACACACACACACACACACTCACGCGCGCACACGCACGCACCCCGCGCCCTCGCGCGCGCCGCCAACCGCCGAGCGGCGCGTGGGGGTAGGCGTCGGGCGCCCCGCTACTTCCCGCGGGACCTCGGCTGACAGCGCGCGCGCGCGCGCGCCCGCGACCCCACAAGCCAAATGAGCCGCACTCCGCTTCTACTCGCCTCTCAGCCCCCACCGCCGCGGTGTGGCCAAGGGCCTCGCGCGCGCATCCCTGCCGTCCCTGCACCTATCAGGCCAAAGCGGCTCCACCTGGAGCCAATCGCGGGGTGCAGGGGGCGGGACCTGCCGCGTGGATCTTTAAAACGACGTCCTTGAGCACCGCCCCAGAGCGTGGGCAGCTGTCAAGATGCCGGGCTCGCGCTCGCCGCCGGCTTGCGGCTGATAGTCTGCACGCAGGGGAGTCCTGCCGCTGTTTGCAAGGGGATTGTGGGATGCAGGGCCCTGGAGCTCCCCGAGGGGATTACTGACCCTTGCCTAGAGCCCTGATTTAATGTCTAGGATCTCTAGTTTGAACCGCAGATCATTGATTGTCTTGGTAGCCGACACCCAAATTCTGTGGCATCAGTAGCTACGGCACCGAGTGAAGCAGCGCAGGCCCCCGCACTCGACACACGGCTTGACTCCTAGGAGGAGAGCGGGGTTCTTTTTGTCCTAACGTTCTCCCCTGGCGGGATAAACATCGACAAATAACCCAAGGAGATGCATTGCCAGTAGAACATCCCTCTTGGGCCGTCTGGTGGTAGGATTTCTTGACCATCTAAGCTCTTACCCTAGTCTTCAGCACAGCCTGCAGCAGGAACTGACCGCCCACGTAAGAATGAGCGCGGTGTGAGTGTACAGTCTTCTCCCTGTGCCCTTCTACCGTCCTGGGCCGTGACGCAGGAATTGGAGAGGGATAGGTTTGGGGAACATTAAAGGCAGTTCGGCCTTGGCCAGGCAGGGCTGCTCCCAGGCCAGGCCAGGAGTGACGCCATCGTGGCGTGTGTTCGGAAACTAGCGCCCACTTTCAAGAGCTTCTCTACCGCCCCAGCCTTACTAGCAGGACGGTTCTGACTTCTGCCCTGCGTTCAGTGGCACTCACCTAAATCGGCCAGTTCACTCCTGCATTAATATGCCCAGGTTTTAGAATGAAATCTTTAATGACTACTATCCCTGTGGTACCTACCTAGCACGGTGCTGTGCATAGAACAGGTTCTCAATTAATATTCATTAAATTAACTCGAAGCCACATTTGGCATTATTTTACTGAAATTTTAGTTTTGATGCTCCAAAATCCATATAACTGCCACCTCTGGTTTTGAAGTTTCTATCAAAGAATGTTATGGAATATATAGGTTAGGTATCTCCATACGTGTGTATGTGTGTGTGTGTGTGTGTGTGTGTGTGTGTGTGTGTTGTACAAAGTACTACAGGTTAGAGATTCTATGTTGAATGCTTTTAAAACATAAGTTTTGTATAATAAAACTGTAGATTACTAATTTCTGAGGTTGTAAAAAAATGTTAAATTTCTGTTTAAAATCATCGGGGCAAAGGCTGAGCCTTTTCAGCCTTCAAGTCTAATCACAGTAGAATAAAAATCTGGGGAAAAGAATATTCATCTTAACTAATTTACTACAATAAATATTCACATATTAAAATTAAAAGAAAACAATTTAGACAGAATTTAAACTTTATCATTCGCTAATAAAAGCAGAATGGTTTTTTAGGTCAGTGCACTTGTTCCCAAACATTTCTTTTCTTCTCTATGGTGACATAGAGGCTCGTAAGGAGGATCATCCCCCTAGCAGGTCCCACTTGTCTCTTTGCTAGCCCAAAAGTTTGAATTTAGAAGTAGCTACCAGGAAACATGCACTGGCTATGCAGGCAGTTTCAGCAAAATATTTGTACTGGCAATGACAGATACTACTCAAATTGAAATTGTTGTTGTTTAAACAGATTAAAACTGTGGAAAGCCGTCAATTATCAAGAAAATTCCTAAACACCCCGGCTGGTTTGTCTTGGGAGAGGGAGAGAACACACATGTCTGAAACACTTATCAAGAAGACAAAACCAAATGGTCATGTCAAGTGGAGAAATGTGAGGTGTAATTATTCTCGAAATTAGCTTTCTAGCCTTAAATACAGTTTCATGTTATTTGTACTATGAATTTATACTTATGACTGAAGACTTAATAAAACTCCATCTTAGATGATTAGATAATGTTATTTTTCAAATGCTACTTTTAGAGGGACATTGGTACTTGCTGAAAAAGATTTTGCCTTAAAACAAGCAATTTTTTGTATGTACAGTATGTCATTAAACTGCCACATGGGGGCCTTATTTAATAAAGCTTTTTCTTAATTATCCTGAGCAATATGTCCTGGGTCTCATTCTTTCTCTAGATTACTAATCTGCAGATAATTAATTATATCTAATACGAACTATAGTACTGCTATAGAACCACATAAATTTTACACTACTTTTTTAACTTCTTTCAGTACCTATTGTAATTATCTGAGCATTTGCACAGAGGTTATTTAGAGATGTAAAAAGACTCAAAATAAAAACAAAAAATAACCATAAATACCAAATTTAACCCCTAAGAATTCTATAGAACTGAATGGGCAGACCATACTCATTCACCATTTTCCCAACCTCCTCTTTCTCTCCGTCAAAAAAGACAAAATTACAACTGTAACATATAAAATGTCCTCAAATCTAAAATGCCATAAGCCAGAAAGATTATGAAAACATTGTTTATTTTAATTCCAAAGAAGTGAACTTCCTAAGCATGCCCAAATCCAGCAGCCATACAGAAAAGACTGATGAAATTGAAGACACAAAATTTTTTTTAAATCCATGAAGTGAATTTCTCCATAAACAAAAGCAAAAGAAAAATGAAAGATTGAGAAAACACTTGAAACCCATATTATGGACAAAACTAATTTCCTTTATGTACACAGTACTCCTGCAGATCAATAAGCACTGTTTCAGTAGAATAATGAAAGTAGAAGCCAAAAAGAGAGAGAAAAAGTCAGTGGGAAGTATCATATACACCTTTTTAATTTTTTTTTAGTTTATCGTTCAGTTGCAGTTGACATACAATATTACATTAATTTCAGGTGTATCACACACCTTTAAAAAGTTGTGGGAGACACGGCAAAATGGCATAGATGATAGTGGCTTTTTTCATCTGCTTTTACAACCACATCAAAGCTGTGATGGAAACATAGAGCAAAAAGCAAGCAGAGTCACCTGTGGTCTAGATGAACAGATGCACGACAACTAGGGAGAGAAATAAGAAATCATCCTACAACAGTAGGAAGTAGGAAGTGGCAAAGACACGAGGCTGCCTTGTCTGGTCCAAGCAGTGCAGCTAAGTGGGACAGAGGCTATGGCTGTTGTGGATGTTCCTCTTAAAGAGGATGTGGCCCAGACCAGACTTTCATGGTGACAGACTTGCTTGCTGTGAGCATCAGCGCCGGGTTGGCTGCTCAAGGGGCACCAGGGACTTACAGGGGGATGCTGAGTTGTCTGAGCGAGGGTCAGAGGTGAGCATTCCTCCCTAGTAGAAGTACTGGTGGTATCCATTGTTTCCTGTTGAGCCCTCCCCCATCCCAGTGTGCAGACACAGCGCCACCATAGCTGAGACGTCATCAAACCGGATAACAGAGGTCGCTCAGCCCAAAGGATTCCCTGAAACTCCCCCTTCCCCAACTCGTGGCCCCACCCAAGCCACATCCAGTTGTGTCCTCTGAGAGTCAAGTGCTCCTTGCTGAGCAGCGCCTAGACTCACACTGGTGGCAGCTGACCTTGTTTTCCAGTGTGCTTTCTTGAGGTAACTATAAGCACAGTATTTGTGGATTGCTTGCTGAATCTTTACACGTGGCCCTGGAAGCGCACAGACTGGAGCTAAACTTGGCCTGTTGCTGAACCCCTCTCAGGACTGTGCCACTGGACACCTACTACACAAAGCTGCACTAATAAGGCTGGGAGACTTAGGGATAGACACAGAAAGGCAGCCAAAATGGGAAGACAAAGAAGCAGAAACCATATGAGAGAACAAACAGAGGTCCAGAAATAATGGAGTCAAGCAAAATGACAGATGCAGAGTTCAAAACACTGATTATAAAGATGCTCAGTGAATTTAGGGGAAATGTAGATGAATTCGATTAGAACTTTCGCAAAGAAATAAACATAAAATGGAAATAGAAATTATAAAAGGGAATCAGTGAGAAACGAAGAACACATTATCTGAGATGAAGAGTGTATTAGAAGGAATCAACAGAATGGATGAAGAAAAGGATCAAACTACCAGTACAGAGTATGGGGAGGCCAAGGACACCCAGTCAGAATGGCAAGAAAAAAGAAGCCAAGAGTATAATAATAATTTAAAGAGTCTATGAGACAAAATTAAATGTAAAAACATCTGTGTCATAGGACTACCTGGAAGAGAAGTGGGAGAACAAGAAGTTGAAAAGCTCTTTGAAGAAATAGTGACGGAAAACTTTCCTAACCTGGTGAAGGAAATAGACATACAATCCCAGGAAGCTCAGAGAATCCCAAGAAAGAGGAACCCAAACAGGCCCACACCAAGACACATTATAATTAAAGTGCCAAAGGTTAAATACAACGAGAGAATCTTAAAAGCAGCAAGAGAAAAGCAATTAGTTACCTACAAGGGAGCACCCATTAGATTGGCAGCTGATCTCTCAAAAGAAACTTTGCAGAACCGAAGGGCTCGGCACAAAATATTCAACATGATGACCTATAACCAAGAATGTTTTATCCAGCAAATCTATCATTGAGTTGAAAGACAGATAAAGAGCCTCCCAGACAAAAATAAGTTAAAGGAATTCATCAACACCAAACCACTATTACAGAAAATGTTGGAGGGACTTCTTTAAGAAGAAAAAACAAGCATCAAAATCATGAATAAGAAATGGTGATAACTACATTCCTATCAACAAGTACCTCAAATGGAAAAGAAGTGCTCCAACCAAAAGATAGAATGGCTGAATGGATAAGAAAAGAAGACCCCTACATATGCTGCCTACAAGAGACTTACTTCAGATTAAAAGA